ACACCTTGAAAGTGCTAAATATTTCACAAGTCTCCCCAGTAGCAATGGTGCATAATAACAATAATAATGAACAATAATAGCAGATGTTAAAACTTCCATGAAATACCGATATTGGTATATATTAAATTTTGCCTCTGTCAAGAACTTAAATATATTATTCCAAGATGCAGAGAAACATACACTTGAATTCTGGATGTGCATAGACTGTTTCTGTCAGCTGGTATCCAAGTCTGATTCTTCAAAAACATGAGAAACTGGAGAGACTATTGTCAACAGCATGCACTATTTATACAAAAGCGTAAGATTTAAAACAACTTACTTGGTTACTGGAGAGTGGTGATGGGAAGTGATGAGTGTGTAAATTTTTTCCTGTGTTAACATGGGTGAGTCGTATGGCTTGCCCACATTTCACCGGTGTCCCACGCTGGCAACTGCCATCCCTCTTCCCACGAATCCGCCAGTAACTGTTAGCATCATCCGAAGCTTCAACTCCTGTCACTGACTGTTGCCCACTTCCTGTTTGAATAGAATTAAATAGCAGGAGACTTAACCCACTTCCCCAGTTCAAGAAGTCCTGAAAGAACTAAAAAACTTTGCTTTAATGCTCTCATGCCTTCATGTTTAAGAGATGTTGAATTTTCTCGGTCCATTTACTAACTGTAATGGGCATACAGGTACCAAATAATCTTTCAGATTGAAGAAATTAAAGACAGCATGCAAAGTACATCCATTCACATTCATATCTCAAAAATACTACCAAGTTCTTTAGGTCCCCAAATCAACCAGCACCCTTGTTGCCACAACAGATGCTGCCAAAGTAATGTCGAGGCCCTAGACACAGAACAGGGACCACTTTAGGGATGAGGGCAAAGCATCCCTGTCACATCCCAGCTCCAGGACCTGCAAAGCACAGTTGCAATATCTTCCCATACCCGAGGTCTCAGCATCTGCCTCTCCTTACTGGGCTGCCATGTCTCCAGTGCACCTCACAGCCCCATCCCTGGCCTGCTGCTCCCTCTGCAGCAGGGACATAAAAACCTCAGTAACCTCTAACCACCTCCTCCTTCCCTGATCCCCTCACAGGCTGCCCCCCCCCGCCATTTTCCTGCCCCCTCATACCCTGCCCCCCGCCATTTTCCTGTCCCCTCACAACCTGCCCTCCCCCGCCATTTTCCTGCCCCTCTCGCTGCCTGTCCCTCAATTCTGCCCAGCTGTTGCCATTTCCTGGCCCTGCTCACCGGATCCGTACTTGACCTCATGTGAGTGGAGCCGCACGCTGTGGCGGGTGTTGAGCAGCTTCAGCACTGAGCCGCAGGTAACAGCGCTCGGCGCCGCTCCCCTGCCGTGACACAGCCCGCGCAGCAGCGCCAGGAGCAAGAGCGGGAAGAGTCGGCAGCCGGCCTGCATCGCGGCGCAGCCCAGCCGGCACCGCCGCCCCCCTCAGCGAAGCGCGCTTCCGCAGCCCCCTACGCGAACACAACCAATCGCCGAGCGCCAGCACCATGGCCGGCCAATCCCCGCCCGTTCTCTGCTCGGCCTCGCTTCCGCATTGGGCCACGGTTTAGTGACCTCACCGCCGCGAGCCCTGTAGCAGTAGTAGCTCATTGGGCCAAGGGAAAAAGATGACCAATCAGAGCAAGCGGCGTGGCACCTCCCAGGGAAGGACGCGAAGGAGGACCGCGGTGCTTTTACCTCAGCGGCGCCTCAGGGCTGAACGCAGGTCTCGGTTGGGCTCGCGATGGCTGGGATGGATCCTATCGGCCGGGTCAGGGCACAGCGGGGCCCGCAGCGCCTCCATCCACAGGTGCCTTAGCCAGGCAACCTGGCAGCGGAAGCCCTGAGCACCTCTCACTACTCGTGCTGAGAACTGGCTCATGTCGGAGCAGAGCAGGCCAGGTTAGTTACAGCAGCCTCTCGTCTGGCAGGCTGTCCAGGCTGTGAGAAAAGTAGTAGCAGGGTCACTGGACTGATGGCTAAGGACCTTGGCAGAAAACGTGCTGCAAGTAGGACTGGTCAGTCGATTACCATGGGAGCAAGGGAAGAACAAATGTCTTCACAGTGAGAACACTGTCCAACATAAAGCAGCTCTATAGTTACTAGCTCAGGTACAGGTAATGGTCTAGATACAGCCTCAGGGAGACAGAACTGGCACAGATGGGTCAGTCAGCTTGTATTGCTACTACGTTCAGGACACTTCCAGCTCGGAGCTGGCACATTCAGGTCTGATCCGCCCTGCAGTTCTGGTTCTTACAGTTGTGTAGATATGTACCCATCTGGAGATTTACAGACAAATGTGACATAATAATGAGAACCAAAGGAAATTCATGGTAGTGCACTGTTTTGTATGATAATAGAGTACTGGTCCTGTAATTTCTGGATTATATTAGAGCTTCTGATGATGAGGCATAAATACTCTACAAAGAAGAGCGATTACTGTATCATTAGCTGTAGTAATCACATCTTTGCTTTTGGATCTCAAAGTTTACCTCCTATGACTCAGTCTCTTTTGTAAAGTTTTTCTAACAAAATCTGATTATTAAGCTCTGTTCAGTATTAAAGACAGCTGCATACATTTACATACATACTGTCCTCATTGCATATTGCAGACTGAATAAATCTAACCACTCCAAAAAAGTCTCCTTTATCAATAGGCAGCAACCATGGACACAAGACAGGAACTCCTACAATGGTCCATTAGCTTTTGACTCTGAAACTGCTCACTGGATTGACCCATATATCCCATCACAGTCTGGTGGGAGTGTCATGTAACACTGAGGAATACAATAATTTAACAGAGCAAAAGCTTTTGACCTTCTCAGCAGCAAGGAAGCAGGTAGAAGGGCACCTGCCTTGGCACTTAAGTTTTTATAATGATGGTATTCTGTATGTCCAACAGCAAAGAACTGCAACACTGCAGTCTCTATGACAGGATGATTTAGAAAGCACATTAATGTTGCTGGCTAACAGAAACATCATAAGATGCTCAGCTGACTATCTCTTCTACCAGTCCTGGATCTGTGAGGTTTTTTTCCTACCCATGTGATAGTAGTCAATTGAATTGTTAGTTTTCTTTATGCTGTTTTTTACCCATTTGATATAGTTATATCTATATCTAAGAAAAATCTCTGATTTAAATGTCAGACATGCATTAAAAACAAGTCTGAGTACTAAACTCAGTCACACACACACACACACACACACACACACACATTTTTATGAGGACTAAAACCTCATTTCCTAGTGCAGGAAGTATAAAGGTTTGCTCATAGAAAAGCAAAAGACCACCCATTGATAGTCAAATGCCATATTTCTATGTCATTCTAAAAAGCCTTGCAGTTCTGACTAAGACAACAGCTTGCATTTGCTGCTCCTGTTATAAATGGGGCAAAACCAGATGTCTGTGATTGCCATTCTAGCCGTGGAAAATCAATCATATGGGGCTTTAGCTGGCACCTGTCTATCTTTCTGGGAGGTCGCTCAGTCTCCATGCATTTAGTGCCATTTACATGGTGCTTCCTACAATGCTTTTCAGTCTTACTTTAGAAACATAATTGGGTTTGAACGGTTGCCAGCAAAGAACTTCATCAATGCCAAACACCCATAGCAATTAACTGCCACCTTACTACTACAGGGACCACTATTGTTTCTAGTAGATTGCTGGAAACTACAGGTAAAACTGCCACAGAAATTATGTGACATTGTGACATATGATATTGGTAGTGGCAATATCAGCTTTTTTGATAGGAATCATTATGATTCTTGTTTATGGACACAAAGTAATTTAACAGTGCTGTAAAAGGGGAGAATGTAAAATGTAACTAGAGTGTTTTCTGCCCTCACTTATCTCTGCAGTCCTTCTGCACACTCAATTTTCAAGGATTTTGAAAACACCTACCCTTTCCAGTCTGATGCACCTGTAGGTATAACCTGGCCTTCCCTGAAAAACACATTTTAGTGGGAGTTGGCAGTGCCAAATGCTTTTAGAATTCAGGAATGAGAAATCTGGGTCAAAAGACTTCAGAGGGTATATGCTGGCCCAAAGCAACATATTACAGAAAAGGGTTTTTCCTTCTTTTTATGTTGCCCTTGTTAAACATGCTGTAGGCTTTCTGTTTGCTTTGCATAACAAAAGCAGTGACCAGCAACTAAAGCAGCATAGCAGGCAACTCTTGATCTTGATCTACACCCCAAAAAAGTGCACTGGTGCATCTTTTGGTATCAGATCTCTGACTAATGGAGAACACTACAGTAACATCATCCAAATTCTTTCCCAGACTGTCACTAACATTAGGCAAAACAGATCAGGCATGGTTCTGAACATCTTAATACCTGATACAAAAACAAGTCCACATGAGCTCTTCCATTGACTTTTCTCTGCAGCTGGTCCTTTTTCCAGTATCAGTAAGGATGAACTATACTGAAATCAACGGAGTAACAGTAGAAAATCAGGTGTGTAACCATTCTGTAATTTTTTTTCTGTGCCCTTCTGTCACCCCACACTGATGAACTCTGGTGGTTATAAACCTTATTTCAGATCAAACATTTGTATCCATTGGCATGCCTTACAATAGAGCTCTTCTGTGACCCCTATGGATAATACAAAGAGTAAAGAGTAGTAATAACAAAAAAACGCTGAGAAATCAAAATGACAAAAAAAGATAGCTTGCAAAAAACTTAGGGAATTACAGAGTTTCTTTTCACTCAGCCCAAGATGTTTGAGGTCTAGAGACTCAAAATCAGCTATTCAGATTTTGACATTCAGTAGACAGAATAAGCAGAGTTAGTAAAGAAGACATTTGACAAAAAAAGTATTGACATACATGTATTTAAATTGAAGAACTTTTCACCTGGGAGAGAAGAGATGGTTCATTTTTTTTATTGCTGTCTTCTGTTTCTAGGAAGAAAGGGCTTCCTTGAAAGTGCTGCAGAGTCCTGGTGATCTGTGTCCAGTAGCACTGCCAGCATCTTTCATCTCTGACACCAGTCCTTCAAGATGGAATCTCTATTCAGAGCTCCAAAAGAATTATCATACATTTCCACTCAACCAGCTGAGATTTTCCAGGTGCTTTCAGTGATGCTGGAAGACTACAACAATCGCTGTAAGTGATCTGCTAGAGTAACTTACACTCATAGTAACATTGCTGAGGACTTCCTGATGTTCTTAATGATAACAGCAGCCCTTTTGTAGAAGGAACTCTTTTGAGATGACAGTGAATACTCATGGTTCTACAGCTGTCTCTTCTTCCATGTCTGATAAAATAGGAAGTCCTCCCTGGCTATCATTTGTACTAGTAAATGTTTTAGATGTTGTTTCTCTTGAAGTCCAGCAGTAGCCTGCTTTAGTTAGTCTTCCACCTCTCGTGGTAGACTTTCAGGGAATTTTGGAGGCAGTAGTTCTGTCATATTTGGGAGAGGAGTGGTATTTTGGCTAATGGGTTTCTTGATTAATTCTGCTTTGCCAATACTCATTTTCTGTTTACACAGAATCTTTTTGTTTCCCTTTTCTGATGTAAGCTTGTGAGGTTTATAGGAACTTCAGATTTCCTTGTTTCAGCCCTATCAATTTGTGCTTACAGCCTTATGCCAATACCCTGCATTTTTTTTAAGCCAAACATTCTCTCAAGATGCACCTTTGTAACAGGAACAAACATAAATCCAAGCTACTCTGGAAGTAATTTTCCACAGTTAGATAAAGGTGTATCTGACTGCATTTTCAATGGAACACTTGCCAGTCTCCTTGTGCTTTCTGAAAAGACTGTATCCTCCTAACTTTACATTTTTGCTTCCCTACTCCACCCCTTTAGGAAGTGACCTGTTCCTTGTATCTTTAGTTAATTTTAATGGCTTCTAATCAGCATTTGTAAAAATCAGATTTAGGCTTAACTCTGTTCTTGTTTATACAGAGTAAATTGAAACTGAGGAAGTTATTTTGAATTTGATTGATGTAGTTTTGATGACTTTCTATTTCAGTATAAGAAAGTAAAAATGTAGCCTATGTTACATCATTTCAGGTAGCTTTTAAAGTAATTTTGTGCTTAATGGGATTTGAAAAAACTTTAGATTTTTAAATCTGATTCAATAGTAGATAAATATTCATGTAATTCTGAAAATTCCACTAAGGATCTCTTTTATACAAGGATCTTTTATAAAATCATTCACTTTTTGACCTCAGTGGTTATTTTGCCTAGGGATAATTTCCTCTAGGTACTTTTATCACAAATACAAAAAAAAAAAAAAATGAACTCCAGATACTATAATAACTTCCAGAGAAGGCAAACTTAAGTCCTGAGTTTTGATGCAATGAAACAGTTAATTGAATCAGATAGTCTAGCTTAAGCTATTAATCCCCACACTTACACAGCACTCATTTCATTTAATCATCTAGTTGAAGGATTCCCTGTCCCAACTCTTTTTTTGACCAGGCATCTTTGTATATTTAAAAGACCTCAACGTCAGGCAAAGCAGCATCTGGAAAAGGAATGGACAGGCTTTACATCACCTCAAACCCAGTTAAAAATCACAGATACTGTAGCTTAAATTAAAATTTAAACACTGATCTTTACTTCACATGAGACACTCTGAAGGAAGCACAGTGGAAAGAAAGTAAACCTCTGAAAAATGAGGTGGTGGATTAAAATGAGCAATACATAGTCTCTCTAAAGACCAGAAGAGGAGGATTTGCATCAGGGAGGATTTGAGTTTGGTACTTTTAACCAAACTTTACTCAGATTATAGTATGCCATAATGTAATGCAAGTGTCAAGTTAATAATAAAGTCATGATGGCAATTTTGCCTTTATCACTTTAAGCCACCTTGATAGTGCCATGCACTTTGTCAGGTATTGACATTATTTTGTGCTGGTGTGAATTCGGATGTTTTCAGAAAGGGGAGAAAGTGACAGGCATACTGCCTAGCACATGGTGTGCAGGGAAGCCATTCAGCTCTTGACAGAGGTACCCTAGATTTCGGCTTTGGCATCAACCCTTTTTGATGCAAGAGGGAGGCAGCTGTTAAATGCAGCAGATTTGCAAGTCACAAGTAAGGAGTCTAACGACAGGGTTTTGATGGGTTTATCCAGCATTATAGTTAGCTTTTAATCAGCTTGGAGCAATAGTCTTTGCTGCTTCCACCTGGAATAGCAGCGCTTGTGCCCAGATTTCGAAGAGCTACCTAGAGGCAGAACACACCCGCTATGTCCCCTCCCTGCTGGGGGTTTGGGCAGTTAGTTCAGCCGGCATGCCCTGCCACTGTGCACACCCAGATATGTGCATGAACTTCTCCGTGCAGTTGCTTTCTAAGGTGGGTGTCATAGGAAGGGCTGGGCACCAAAGCGCCCCTGCTGCGCATCCTAGGCTGAGCTCCAGCCCTCCAGAGGAGACCCTCGCGAGCACTGTAAGGCACACCCGGTTGGCAGGGAGGCCCGCATGGTTAGAGGACAGCCCAGCGCCGGGTGGAAACGAGATGCTGCTGCTCACGCTTGTCCTCGCCCTTACTGACAGCTACAAGAGCACACACAGCCCCTCCCTCGACACAAAATGGCGCCCACGTGCTGCCTGCGCAGGCGGAACGGCTGCCTCCGCGCGCGGCATGCCGGGAGTTGTAGTTGGAGCGGGTACCGCCGGAGGGCCGTGATCCACAGCCAGTCTTGCACCCTCGTTCAGGGTCCGGTGCCCGGAGAGCACTGCCCCACACCCTCACCCCTGCCCTAGCCCCACGTAGCACCCAAGTTTCCTGAAAGACTGAGGAAACACTTTTCTGCCTCACCCTAGGCTGGGCATGTCTGCGAATTTTAGGAAAACTGCAGTGCAGCTCTATTTCATCACTGCTGTTCAGGTTCACTCAGCTCAGATGCTGAAAAATTAACACATGCTAATGAACAGGTCGCTACAGCATTCTTGCACATCACCTACCTCGGTCTCTGCAAAAGACCCCTTATTTTCTTCTAATTTCTGTGCTATGGCTCTCCATGGTGTCCTGCTTCATGTCCTGCCCTGTCAACTGACCAGACAGTTTTGTATCTGGGCCACAGATTATTTTGGGGACTGCAGCCTCAGAGATACATGCTGCATTAGCCTGTTGCATGATCTCCATCTCTTCTGCAGAGGAGACTGGAATGCAGCTCACTGCTACTAAGAAGAGACTGAGACGGATGCTGACAGCATGAACATAAATGTCTTGTTTTCTCTGAAAACCAACCTCACTAGGAGAATGAAAAGGCTTTAATTTAAGCATTTCTACAGAAGCCACTGAACTTCAAAGATTTTGTAAATGTTTAAAGCTGGGGAAGAGTAGTCAATGTTGACATCCTTTGATTTAATGAAAAATGGATTTTACTTTGTCTCATTCAAACATCTTTTAGAATTCACACTTTCAACAAAATTTCAAGCAAGGAAAAGACAAACCAAGTCCTACTGTGCTACCATTGTAATCCCAAATGAACTAACTCACTGCAGCCAAGGGAACAATAAAAAGAAAATACATTCTTTCTGTCAACATATCAACAGATGTCTTGTTGGAAGCATTAACTGCTAGGAAACGCTTTTGCAAAATACAGGAAACCTCTAAAACAGCTACTGAATAACTTAAAGTTCAGGAAAAGAAATTCAAGCTCAAAACCAGTGGAGCAACTGAGAATGGAGAAAGCTTCTGCTGGTTGCTGCAACTAAGATAAGGCATGGCTGTATTTTGTTTCAGTTAAGCTGGAAGATGCAGCCTGTGCTTAGTACATGTCCTGGCTTATGGGGCTTTGCCAGAAAAGCTGGCCAATTCATGTCTTCATTGAAGACGAAAGATTAGCCAGAGGAAGCCTGCCTTGCCTTTCAGCTCCAGGCTGAATTTTTAAGACTTTCCTCTGGACTGTGTAGGGTTGGCTGCAAGGCGTATTTTGGCAGCCAGCTAGGGCATGTGGAGGAAACATTGTGCTGGGATCCAAGGGGGTCGTGGCACAGTGGCAAGATTTGCTTGCTGGGGAGATCTGCTTCCAGTCATGGGAAGAAAGCTGGGTAAACAGGCAGGAAATTGGAAAAGTCTCCAGGAACTTCATTCAGTCTTTAAGAAGGATGTTACCATTAATAGCATTAAATGCATACTAAGGTTAAGAAGCCTGAGAAGCTTTGTCCAAGATTCTTACATAGTGCCTCTCACCTGTGCAGAGGCAAGCATCACTCATAGTACTAGAAAGAGGCAGGAACCCCCAGAGTTTTCATTGGCAAAGGCAGGAGGTACTTGGTTTTGGTTGAGGACATTAATTTGGAGTTGTTCTGACTTCATCTGCTACAGTATCAGCCCTCATCAGTAAGTGAAGCCTTGGGAGAAGGTGGTTTGGCTGTGAGGTTCATCTCCCAGAAGGGGAAGCAAGTACCAGTTGCAAAATATCTACTCTGAAATGCCAAGAGCACTGGAAACCCTTACACAGCATCAAACACTTCCCTGTAACAGAAACATACAACTATTAAATGATGGAAATGCACACAGAAATTGCTACAATGAAAATTTAGCAACTCCTCTACAGCATTTTAGCACAGTTTGTTGGATATTTCATTCCGTACAAGTTTTTCATGAGAGAAGGAGTCACAAAGGGGCAGAAGGCTGTCTCCAACCCTCACCCTGATTTCCTGTAGTCCGTGTGCATTTCCTTGTTAGGGAAGAGTAAGCTCCAGAAGTGACAGACAGCTGATACCCACTCTAGATTAAGCAGAAGTCCCCATGCTGCCCATTTCAGTGCTTATATGGAGAGCACAGCCTAGGAATCAAATTCTTCCAGGACTAACATTGCCACCCCCCATTCTACTTTTATTTTCCTCCCTCAGAATATTAAAATGTGCTTGCAAACAATCATCCAAATCTTAGCTGCCCCTCAAAGTGCCCTCAGACTATGGAAAAACATTTTTTCTGCTGCAGAGCCATCCAAGGTGGGAGGCAGGGGCTTTCCCCTCCCAGAGTCCTATAGCAGTTTGATACATGGGTTGCAATTGATGACAGCCTGAAGATCAACAGAGCTACAACCTACCTGATTCACTGATTCCAAATTCCTTGTGAGGAAACAGAAATGTGGAACTGCAGAGGTGCTCATGACCAGATATACCTCAGCTCTGGGTGTAAAAGCGGTGCAATTCCCTTCGCTAAATTGTGCTGCTTTGTGTCCACAAACTGAGGGTTCTTCCTTTGCTGGGAAGGACAGTCAGTCTGGCTGTGCCTGCACATCATTTCCTTGACCTTGGGGCTTGAGTACACTGTCTGTCTCTTAGGAACTGGATTCTGCTGAAAGAGGGAACACCCAGAGGCTTTGGTTTCTTTGTGCTAGGACTGTCCAGAGCTGAGAACAGGGATGCAGTTGTGATGAAAGAGCTAAATTAGCATAAATGACTTTGCCTTAGTCATGAATTAAGGAACAGGATGGTCTGTCCATTCCCACAGAAACAACCCTTGAAGCCTTTCTCAGCTAGTTCCATCCCAGCTGCTCTTCCAAGAAGCTTGTGCTTGGCCTGATGGCTGCTGCTTTTCTTATTCAGCCCTCTTACCTGCACATTGGCACAGAGTCAGATGTGGAAATCGCCATAACCCACACAAGGGTCCCAGTCACAGCATGATCCCTGCTTCCTGAGACAGGTTAACAGGATGTTACTCTAGCACTTTCTGAACTGTCACTCTCTTCCTGCCCCAAACAGCAGTTTGTTGTTCCTCTTGCAATAGCAGGAGTGGGTGAATATCTTGGGATAACATTACAGACAAAAAAGGGGTGCGTTCTACTTTGACAGAACTTCATCTTCTTCCACAGGTGAAAAATGCAGCTGTGAAAGTGAAGTGCTTTCACTTTCATTCTGATAGGTAGACAAATAGCTTTCCTGCGGTAAGAAAAAGCAGCAGTTCAATGCCAGGACAAACAGGATTTTACATACAGCCTGAGGTAGAGCTGGCTTTCACTCGGCACTGAAGGACAGCACGATAGAAGCTGCCTCTCTGTTCTTCCTGCCCTTCTCCAGCATCAGGAGCCGCAGGGAGTTCCCGATCAGGCTCTACTAACCTGCAGCTCTGCCCTCACACCGAGTTCACGCTGCCCACAAGCCAAGGAGCAGGGGACAACGCGCCTGTCCGGTCGGCGGTGCCAGCCGCGGCCGCCAGGGGCCGCCCCCGTGCTCGCAGCACTGCGGAGGCGCCGGGTTCTGCAGCGCTGCCACCGCTCCCCGCCGTTGAGCTCCCGGCGGGGGCTGCTCGGCGGCACCCGGGTACGGGGGGGATGCGCGGCGGGGCGCAGTGGACAGAGCTCCGCCGGGGGAGCCAGCATCCGCACCCACCGCGGGGCAGCGGTGACGGGGACCGCTGCGCGAGCAGCGACGCCCCTGGGAGCGGGCAGGAGCGCAGGTACGCACTGCCCCGGGGAGGGCTGGCGGGGCCTCCTCTGTCCCCGCTGCAGCGGGAGGGCGGGGCCCGAGCCGCACCGCAGGAGGCCGCTCCTTTCCGGTTCTCCCCGGGGACACGCGTCTGCCGCCCCACGGCCGGCACCGTCCCCCTAGAGCGCTGGATGGCGGGGTCGGTGGCAGCGAGGTGTCGCAGCAGTCTCAGATGCTTGGCACCGCTGCCATTTCCCCGGGCACCGCGGGAAGGAATTTGAAACCCCTCCCCCTGTGGGTTCAGTCGGTTCCCGAAGCCCCTGACCGTTTGCACATCCTCATTTACAGCAACACAGAGGGCAGGCAGGCCTGTGCTCTCTCTGCGGGAGCAGGCGGGTATGGTGTGAGCCGGGCGGCCACACCAAATCCGGCTACTGTGGAAGCTGTAAGACAGCGGCAGGCTGAGGTGGAGCGGGAGGAGTTAGTCAGGGGCTGAGTCACGCTTGGGTTCACCTCCGTTGAACCAGTGTTTTCCTGCTTGCCTGTGATCTGCAAACTACCGATTGTTCAGATTTTCCCTCCTTTACTTTTTTGCTAGGGATGACCTCCAAGAATGCTTCATGTGAAGCTAATAGTAACTGGAGATGACTTTGGCTACTGTCCTCGGAGAAACCAAGGCATCGTGGACTGCTTCCTGGCTGGTGCAGTATCTAACGTGTCCCTCCTAGTCAACGGAAGTGCTGCAGCAGATGCAGCCGAGCTGGCACGGAGGTAAGCTACTTTCTCTAGCTCCTTTGTGGACAGCCTCCAGAGGCTATCAAAAGCCTTGCCTGTAAAATCTGGTCTTCTGTAACCCCAGTGTAGATGCTGTATCATAGCCTAGGGTGACATAAGGAAACTATTCCAGGTATACTTACTAAGACTCTTCATAGTAAAACCAATTACCTACCAGCCATACCCATAATGGCTCTTTCTCTAGTATTAGCCACTGCACCTTTTTTCATTAGGATAGAAAGCCACTTACACAATTTGAGTAGTAGACTTTGGGTGGATTTTGTTTTCCCACACTTCTAAAAGATGCACCATCACAATGAAAGTCCACATTATGCCCAGACCAAGCTGCTATCTCTGAAACTAGTAAAGCATAAAAGCACAAATCTTTAAATCTCATTTAAGTTGGTGCATTTGGGCAAGGCTGAACACAGGGTCACCCAGGTTCATTGCAGAATCAGGGAAAGGTGTGATTCTGCAAGGGCTTAGTTACAAATCTAGACAGTGGAAAACCTCATTTTTTCCACCCCAGAAGCCTTTTAAACATGTACCACAATATTTTTATAAATTCTAGGCTTAATAAATCCATCTGTAAAAATTGCATACACAAAAAGAGGGACCATACCTCATACATGGCACCTTTAATCCTTCAGGAACTTCTCAGAGGTTGCTGGTATAGTTGTCTCTGTAGCAAATCAAATGCTGTATCGGTCTCATGGACTACCCCAGTAAAGCCTTTAATATGAAGCATTACTTGTGTTTAGAAGGTAAAAACTCAGCTAATGCTTCCACTCCAGTGTGGGCAGGAGCTTGGAAGCAGGAATATGTCCTGGAAGAGAGAACAGCAGGGTTGAGAAACAATTTAGAAAAGCAGAAGAGGAAAGGAGCTGTGCTGGTAGTAGAGAACTAACCCTTATGCTTCAAATATAGCTGCTGCAGGGGACAGTTTAATGAGAGTCATGCTGTCCTTGTTCTCCTTGAGCATCTTTCTTCTATTTGTCTGTGATTTTAGGAGTACTTGGAAATTGCTTGCACCTTGTAGCTTCTTTGGTGTTCGGTGGTCTAGGAAAACCAGGGTGTGTTGTTAGTGGCAAACTAATCTTCTGTTAGAAATTACACACAAACACTGAGAGAGGAACTGCCTCTGGGATGATAAGAAGAGACACTGTTGGGATGACTAAAATCCTGTTAGTAAACAAATTAAATGTAAAACATGAAGGTAAAGCCAGAACTTCTCAGACATGGAGGCGCCATGGAAGGCTTTAAGCCTCAATGCTCTGGTAATGTTGTCAGCTATTTTAGCCATGGTCTTTAGCAGGCTTTTAAATATAGAATCCACCTGGCCTCATTTCCATTGTCAGAAAATAGGCCACCAAGGTTTAAAAACCATCTTTGAATCCAGTTCATGACACTTGTGCTGACAGCTGATACAGGTGTGAAAAGCCAGGTTGGAAGGGAGGGGACAGGAGAAGATGCAACCTGCTGCTACTGTTTCATTCTTTTGGGGGATAGTTTTGAATTGTGTCAATGAAATGGATTTATATCTATTTCTGACAATATAAGCAGGGTGACTGTGGGGACATCTGTCAGCACTGAAGATCAGCAGCCCAGGTTCTGCAATTCCTCATTTGTGTAACTCTGTACAGCTGTATTCAGCCCTACTCACCCACGGGTTTGCCAAAAAGGGTTGGTCATGTTCTAATTCAGGTGCTGATAGTAAATCTTAATTGGTACCTGTGCATGCACCCACCCCTAAGATACTTGTTGCTTTATTGCAGAGGTTCGCACAAAATCTTTTTAGACACAGGTGTCCAGTAAGTCAGACTTACTGGAAATGTCATTGAATCCTTCTCATCTTGTGGTGTAAAAATGGGAAAGTGTAACTGTTGCTTGACTGCCTTGCCACTGTTGTTCTCTCTTCGCCCTGCTTGGTGGTGTCTCCCATCCCACTGTGAATATTGAGGCTTTGCAACATTTTGTTGTTTATGGGATGAAAGCCTGCCCTGGTTTTTGATCCTCTTTTATCTTTCTCCACAGATCCCAACTAAGTAAATATTATGTATATACACAATATATATGCACACATGCATATATACTTAACTCCATAGTTGACATTTCAGCCTTGACCAGTGGTATAAGCAGAGACTGGATCTATCACCTATCAGGACAGTTCTTCTTAAGCACCTCATGCTGCCCTACAATACTAGGACTCAGTAACCTTCAAAAAGGATCACAGTTCCTCTGGAATTCCATTCCTCCCTTCATTTCACAATAATTCTGTAGGCTTCTGGGTATATCAGAAACCCTGTTTTGATTAGAAGTGTTAGCAGAAATGTGATGGTAGTCAGCAGACCTTTGTACCAGTTCTAACAAAAACTAATTGCAAACCAGCCGAACATCTAGGTTCTGGATCTCGGGGACTCCACTTACTTGAGGCAAAAGAGAAGTTTCAGCATCCTGATCATCCAGCCTCGTCCATCACCAAATGACAAACCTATCTATAGCGACTGCTGGAGCAGTACATAACCAGAGCAGCAGGCAGGGAACAGACTGCCACTGTGGGGGTTGTACTTCAGTAACTAGAAACTTTTTTCCTCATGGGGCAGAGGCTGGCTGCAACTTCCTGGTTATCCATATAATATAGTCTCAATTTTCTACTTATCAAGCCCCACCTTGAAGTCAGCCAGTCTTCCTAGTGATTATTCCAGAGCCTCTCCCTGAGATCAGAAGGGTTATTTTGTACCTGAAATTAACAGATCCATTTTTCCTTAGAAATACAGAAAAAGAAGAAATAGACCTAAGATGGTTTCTTGGCATATTTCCCCCTTTTTATCAATCAGCTTAGTTGTGACTGAGTATTAGGACCCTTTTCCAGATTATTATATCCAAAAACTTGATGAAAAGTGACATATTTTAGAACACAACTTCAGTCTTCCTGCCTGTTTTTTGCAGTTTAAATGCTGAACATCAGCTATATAAAAGCTGAAGACCCCACATCTGGGTACATTTAGCAGAAGAATCTAACAAAACCACATTTAATTGCTGTCTATGTTTTCACTTCCTTTCCCATCAACACTAATTGCAAAATGTGTGTGTAAATTGTGACTTAATTCTGACCCTCCCAAGTCAACATCTGACTAATCCAGGAATCTCTTACGCTTTCTCGTCACCCTTTTATTTGACTGTTTATCACCTGGCAGACAGTTCCACAGCTGAACTGTGTTTGAATTAGAGGTGGGATCCCAGCTGAGGCCTTAAACTAGAATCTGAGATCAGGTTAACTTTACTGGCAACAGCGCTTTTTGCTGATGTAAGGTCACAGACACAGGAGCTTCAGTTGATACAAAGATGTAATTAAAAAGAAAGTCACATCCTTAAGCTGTGTTACAGTACCAATTCTTAACAATACAGAGGCTTTGGAGTGTTTCTTCCAGCAGAAGAGTGGAGCAAGATAAGATGCTATTTGATCTACAGTTGTATCTTACCATTTGCTGAAGGGTGAAAGTGGGGTGGTAGGGAAGCATGCAAATGCCAACATGGAAAACCTGAGAGGTCTACTTTTTCTGCACGAAGCACAGCCTGGCTTTGTCTGGCTTGAGATACTTAGCTGTTTACTGGAGCAGGATGTCCAGATACAGATATTTATGTGAGGTTCTTCATTGTGTCACACTTGGGCTGAAACCTGGTGAACCAGTAATTTCCTGGATAAGGATACAAACAGGACGTTGAAAGTGGTATCTGTTTGCCCATGAAGGAAAAGGGCAAGTGCCCTCTTACGCTGCAGCATGCAGCCTTCAGCAAGACAATTGGGCCTGTGCTCAGTAATTGTATGATTCCCACAGCCACTGCTCCTAGGAATGCAGGGCCTGCACAGAGTCCCTGATGTGGCCAGGAAGAGCCCAGGGCATCCAAGCTCATCTACCAAGCTCAGAAATGTGCAAAGCCGGTGGGCACTTTAAAGAGTGACTCAGTATAGTAACAGTTTCCAGGGACCCTTTACTGCTAAGGATATGAATGAACAGGGATTGCAACTGCACAAAAGCCCATTGCCTTAGCAGAGGCATTCGTTCAGAGCTCTAGTGTGGCAAAACAAGCAACTACTCAAAAAGGAAGCAGTTTAGCTGATTTCATTTCCTCTCTCTATTTGACGACTGGGCTGGGCTTGCTCTTCTCAGAAATCTTGCCAGACTGAACTCTTTGTTGTCCCTTGTAGCATTTTTCTGTAAGAGGCTATCCTTTCCAAGATAGTCCCATATCTTGACTTTTCTCCATGCCTTTTTTTTACAATACATCATGACTTGGCATTGCTCTTTGGTTGCAGAAGCTACATTTCAGTGGTGAGAAGCACTATGGAGCAAGAGTTAGTCCAATGTGTGTAAACAGTCAGGGAAGAAAGCCTGCTGGTTCAGTCTTAAAGCTCAAGCCTTTGGTCAGAGCAGAGCATGACTGGAGCCCTTTCTTCCAAGGTAGAGCCTTGGCTAATTACTGTAATGCTTTAAGTTTTGCTTATGCTTTCATCTCATTGCACTCAGGATATCATATACTCATGCAGTGTCAGGACTGTTAGAAATAAACACCAGGCACAGGACATTTGCTGCTGAACCAGAGCATCATCTGGCTCACTGGATCCAGAGGAAAAGCACATATTTAAATACAGGAAAATGCTAGCTAGCCACAGAATCCTGCTGTGCCCTCTGTGTTGTCCTTCCTATATCCTTACAGCCTTCCCAGCATGCCTGCTTCTGTGCATCTCCCACAGGGGAATATTTCTGATCAAGTTCCTCACGTGCTGTGTTTTGAGTTTTGGTTTCAGTCCCTGCATTCCAGAGCCTTTAAACACTAGCAGTTCCTCTTTAGATGCCTCAGCATAGACAGTCTGTCAGACCAGCCGGGACTAACTCTAAGAGAAAACTATTAAGATATTCAGCTGGTGTTAGCCAAAGCTCCGAAACATGCTCTAATGTTACAGTCAGAGTCTCCCCTTACAGCAAGAACAAGGGCAGCTCTCTCTGCACTTCCACATTCTGTGCATTCCCCAGCTCTGGGGCTGGTTTCAGCTCAGGCGGAGGAGCAGCTCTAATGTTCTGCAGTGCAGTGCTTGGCTCCTTGGTGTCCCACACCTGTCAGAGGGGCTTGCCTTTCCTAGAAATAGCTTTCCTGACAGCATGTGAGGCATTGCACAATTGGAGGTAGTTCATCTGATGCTCCTGGGAGACAACGCTGAAAGGCTCAGCTGTTCATTTCTTGCCCTCCCACAACACATGAGGAGGAGAGTGCTCAACAAAAAATCTCCCATCTGCTGATTCATGGTAACACATGAATCCTTTTTCTTGTAGACAGCAGTGGCGGTGGTACAAATAATGCTATCAGCTGATGCAGCTAGAGCTTCCCAGAGACATGATAAAGAGGCTGGGGTGGACTTCCAAAACAAAACCATGGGCTCCCCTTCTGCCTTTGGGCTCATGAAGAGTGCAGAGTAGGCCACAGGATGAAGGAGAAGTCCTCTTGCTACAGCATTCCTTCTGCACTGTGGCTGCCTCCTGCCCTGCCATCAGCCACCTGCTGAAGAGCCCCCACTCCCAATGACAGCATCTTTCAGTTCTTGTATTAGAGAGGAGTTAGTGTGCACGTCATGTGCTCAGGCCCCATGTATGAAAACAAGATGAGCATTTTATCATCAACTATATAGTCAGGCCCTGCTGCAGAAAAGAGAAATCAGAAAAGCCAGAGAGGACATTTCTCTCCACAAGTTATTTTGCTCCATTCAGCAAACATTCAAGCTCCTTAATTGCAGAGTGGACTGGAAAGACATGGACTGTTTCAGAGCTGTCCATACAATTTGACTTGTAACATTTATATCTTTGAGAAGGAGCAATATCTAGCAACAGACTATACCATCCACCTGGAGCATGAGATGGAGGAGCCAGGAAAAGAGTTTCAGTCCTGCAAGGGCCAAAGCCTTAGGATCAGAAGAAGCTAAATGATTAGCTTAGTCCAATCCATCCACAGACCTATCTCGAGTGACTTGGTGCTTTACTAGTCAGCTTCAGGGCAGCAAACAGAAGGGGAAAATGTTTTTTGCACACTTTGCCTAAGTGGGGATTGCTTTTGTTTTTCCAATTGTTGTACAAGGACTCTAACAGGAACAGGCCATGCCCAGTTTTAACAGCTCCATGCAGAAGTTCCAGGAAGGATTTAAAGCATCACAGGCTTTCTGCCTTGAAATGAACTCCGCATCATGACTCAGGACTGGGCAGCAGAGGAACACTGCAGTTCTGTCATTTACTTACTGGGGCAGCCAGAGGCCAGGGGTTGTCTTGGAAAAAGTTTCAAAGCATCATTTTGGCCACTGATTCTGAAGATCCAGAAGCACTAATGAAACTCAGCACGAGTCTGAGCGCTCACAGGCCCTGTCTGTATTGTAGGGGAATCCACGGCATAGACTGAGAAAGAAAACCAGCACTTTCAGAAGAGCCTGTGGCTGAGAGGAGCTCTGCAAATACACTGCACTGTTTCTTTTTATAAATGTTGCAGAGTGCAACTAGTAAATAAATTGTACCCTTGTGATGATCCCTTAGCCAGGCTCTACTCTTACGCTGGGCCTCCCTGCAGTAATCCTTTGTCTGTGTCAGAGGGATGCACAATTCAGCCTTGTCATTCAGTGAGCGATCATCTGCACCAGTAGACAAAAACACAGACACTGCAGGCAGGTCCAGCTGCAGCCTCTTGGACCCTTTAAGGAAACCTTAAAGTCAGGCAGCATTTACACTTGTAGCCTATGCTGTTGCCGTAACAGCTGCCGTGGGCACTGTTCATATATGACTGGATTCTACTTAGGGGAAGCTTTATAAGTTGTCAGTTAAAACTGAAGTGTTTCATAAATGTAGCATCTTTAATAGCGTGAACAACTCAAGGGAATACCTAGCAAGGCTAATGAAGTGCTTTAGAAAGGGTTTCAAGGTCCAGATTTTTCTGCCAGTTACTAGTAGCATTCAGGTACAGTACTTAGTCTCAGACACCTCATGGGTGCTCTCCCCATATGAGTCAAGGTGGGAACAGAGCTGGGAGTCTCACAGACTGGCCCTTGGCAGACTGCACAGGGATTCTACCTGGAGATACTCTGCTCTGGTTAGTGTTGTTCTGCTTTCCTTTCTAGATGGGCAGAGATACAAAGATGTACTCCAGTGAGAACATGGCCACTTTTTGGACCAGTCTAAGTCTTTCACTGCTATCTTCTGCCTTCAGGCACAGTAAGGGAGGTAGGGGTGCAAAGCTTAACAGATATTTTATTCCTGTTACAGATATAACATCCCAATAGGCCTCCATGCCAACCTTTCCGAGGGCTCTCCTGTGTGTGAGGCACTCAAAACAAACTCTTCACTGCTCAACCAAGATGGATTTTTCCATGGGAAAATGGGATTCAGAACAGCACTATCAAAAGGTCTCCTGAATATGTCAGAGGTAGGAGAAAGCCATATACAATCATGGAACTTGCTTTCCTGACATGGATCATTCTGCACTTATCCCAGCACATAACAGCTGAAGACCTTCCCTAGGTCCCAGCTGTGAGTAAGCTTAGAGATGAATTTTGAATCTGGGCAGCTGGAGCTGGTTTTCTGGGTCCTTAGCCTAATTCTGCCAAAGGCTTTGCAGCCTTTGAGAACTCATTTCTCCCTGCTTCAGTGCCTGCATACGCTAATGTCCTGTTAAACTGCTTCTCTGAGGGGACAGAAGGGGCATTGGAACAGATATTTACAAAGAACCTAAGCATTTGTAAAGGGAAAATGACAGAAGTGCTATGCAGGCAGTAAGCCTTTCATCACTTCATGAGTGGATTTTGTTCTCTAGTGAGTTGGCTGGTTTTGTCCCATGAGAAGGATGCATGGTGATCAAAACTGCCTATGGGATATGAGCAGCCATTTCCCATTCATTCTAAAGGGAAATGGGTATTCAAATGTCCAGTATTTCTAACATAGAAAATCCCAGTGTTGCACCATTCACATAACCAGTACCACAGAGCCCATGCCTAGGGGAGGTTCTGGGCATTGCATGTCCATTTAAACATCACAGCACTTTATGCCTCCCAGAGCCGTGTCACAGGTAGAAGCCAGCAGGTGTCCCTTGCACCCTCCTGACCTCACCCTGCTGAGAAGGCTTACTCTGACACTTCTCTACTGTGCAGGTAAAGCAGGAGCTAAAGGCCCAAGTGGAGCTGTTCCATGAGCTGACAGGTCACCTACCTCCTCACATGGATGGGCACCAGCATGTCCATGTCCTCCCAGGTAAGAAAGGAGTCCTCTTCTTCCCAGCACTGCAGAGATGAGAGTCAGCTCAGACTGGATTGCCCCTGCCACAGCTCCCTGGTTGAGCAGTAAATCTCACTGCACAATACCCACTCTGCAATTGCAGATTGAATGTTCCCACCTGGGCCTCAGCTGCTTGGTGATCCGGGTCCTTCTGTAGCATCACAAGGGGATTAATGGCACAAAAGGTTCAGGTTACACCTTTTCCTCCTAGGACTGATAATTCACCTCAGCATCCTAATTGCATGCTCCTGCTCACATCAAGGAGTCCAGTAGCAGGCTGGCCAGTTTAAACTGGAAAGCCTGGGTCTTTCAGGTGCTATAAGAACTCTATCCTGTCAGTTGTGTTTCCACACTGATGTCTGTCTGCAGGTCTCAGCATGCTTTACAGAGATGGCAGGTATCTTTTGTCCCTGTTCTGAAATAAGGTAATTGTGGTACAGAGATGGAAAACAGAGAGCAAAGCCACCCAGATTTCCCCACTCCAGCACTCAGCTGCCTGTGGGTGTCACTGCTCTTGGCAGTTTACCCTCACAACAAACCTCGCTGTGCAGGGACTTGATGAAGAACTTGTTCCTGGCAGTGCAGTCACCTCTGGTGCACTTCAGGACCAGAGCTGCTGAGGTAGAAGGGGTTGCTGGACCAAATGCTCAGTGGTGAAAGCTAAAACAAGGCACCTACACAGGTGTTGAGGAAGTAATGCTTCCAGGACAGAAAGCGGCTCCCATCCAGGTGAAGAAAACCATTTCAGCAGAAGATAAGCCAAATAGGACTATGTTTTCTTTAACATGGAATAGAAAGATGTCTCTGTGCTAACAGCTTGCAGGGACCTGATGAGCTGGTTATGCGATTCCTGACCAAAACACCAGTGTCTGTGTTTTCACTCCCAGAGGTCAGGCACGTATTTGCAGAGGTGTTAGAAGAATATGGGATTAAGTACACACGTGTTCCAATAGAGCCAGGCCTCCATAAATGTGACTGGATTTCACCATCCCTGATGGAGTTTTACCTGGGAGTGGAAGAGGATTCTTTTAACACAGTGGATGTGTTTACAAGTCATGGAATAAGGTAAGACAGGCATTACTCATCCTTTTTGTAGTAAAGCTTTAAGACCTTATCACCTTTTGATAGCACCTTTCCAGAACTGAAGACCACCTTTATTTCCACTTTGGGGCTTTGAAGGTTCAAGAGGAGAACAAAAGTGCTGGGGGCACTAGGGCTTTGTGAGTTCTGTTTGCACAGAGATGATTCACTTCTCACCTTGAAGGGAATCTTCTTTCCAGGGCATGTTTCTCAGGTGTTCTAGTGAAGCTGGCACCTGGCATGGCAGGAAGATGAGTGCTGCGTTGATGCTGCATCAGAGTGGAATTCTGAGAATATAGCTTAGGGAAGGTTTTCAAGAAGTAACTTTTCATCTCCCTGCAGTAGTGGAGAAAGGGTTTTAAGTAGCAGGAAAAAGACTTAATTGGAAAGAAGTCTTTGCTGTTAAGGGGAGGCAAGTCCAGTGTTCTGCCATTGTTACGGCTCTTTGATATACTTTAGCAGAATGCTCTCTTAGCAGGTTGGTTTCTATTTCAGTCACTTTGTTTCCCCTTAGCCAAGGGTTATTAACTAGAGATGGCTATTGTTCAGGCTTTAATTGGCTGGGTGAGTTATTTTGATAGCTTAGAATTGCTCAGTCCAGTTCTCTCTTCCCTCTTGTGCCAACAAAATGCACCTGCATGCTCACAGATGCCAAACCACCTTTGTGCTGTCACACAGCACATGTCAACACAGTAATAACAGCAGTGCTGGAGCTTTGCTGGGCCTGTCAGACTGAACACCCTCCCTCTTTTCTGTCTGAAGTTTTAGCTTAATTTTGATTCCCAACCCACAGGATGTAACACACTTTTCCTAACCACCTTGTTAGCATTAATATCAGTGTTCCCTCCTCTGGCTACAGGTGGCCAGACATTTACATAGGGTTGACCACCATGGGCAAGAACATGTCTGTCAGTAACATCTGGAGCACCATCGACAGTGCCATCACGGAGTTCACGTCCAAGGCACCCTCACCCACAGCCCCACCACCACAGAGCAGGACCGTAACGATCGAACTGATGGTGCATCCCGGGTACCCCAGTGTCCCACCCGTCGGCGGCTGCGGGGAAGGACCCGATGACTTCTCGCAGTCCTGGGAGCGCCTCCATGAACTCCAGACATTAATCAATCCAGAGCTGCAGAGCCATTACAAAACCAGGAACATTCAGCTTTGTTCCTTCCAAGATCTTTAGGCAAGCGACCATACACACCTCTGTTCAGACCTGCAAGCCAGTTACCAGTGCAGTACCTCCTGGTGCAGCTGACAGGAGAATGAACAGCCTGGGGACAGCAGCAGTGTCCATGGAAGAACACCACCGTCAGCAGCTACAGGTAGCACCCCGGTGCCCTGACCAGCAGATTTTAGGTCACAGCCCCTGCTCTGAAGGTGACAGACCTCCCCTGCACCCCATAGCCCTGCACTCTTCCAGCAGTGTGGCAGCCAAGTCCCAGCCCTCCTCCCAGGGCCCAGCTCTTATGACACAAGCTTTGCTGTAAGACCAAGGAGGACACAGGCACCACCTCGCTTGTATCTGGTGAGACACACACGAAGGTGCACACAACGCTGCCTTCAGAGCATCTCATCAGAATAGTCAGATCATGCCTTCAGCATGGTGGCATCTGCAGCCACATCCCACGTACAGCCTCAGCCAGCAGGGATTACAGCTCTTCCCATTTACACTGTCTTTTGGCATTAAGCCACTGCAGGACAGTAACATCACCCGCAGCCCCTTCAGAGAGGCTTTCATTTTTTTCCTTCCTGGATGACTTTGCAAGAACAGCAACTGTTGAGCCATCTGCTACTTCAGTCACTGCTGCACATGAGAGCTCCCCAGCCAACTGTTTCTGTGCTGCTCACTGCCTCTCAGGGAAAATGCATGGGACAGATGTGGACCAACCACAAGCAAGTTTCTAAATGGAGAAGGTGCATGTGTTTGTCCATCTTTATGTCTGTCATCAGGGTGTTTGAACTAAAGCAAGTCCCAGGAGTCCCAACAGGTCTAACTGCAGCCCGGCTGCTGGCATGCTTTACAGGGGAAGAAATATTTTTGATTGCTTATGCTCATTTTCTGCCCAAACCTGATCTATTTAATGTAATCGTTATTGGCTAAACGGTTTTCTTTTCTTTAAATAGTAAAAGAGTCAATATGATCATCATTCTTTCAAGTAAAAAATAAACTCAGGTCTTTTTCTACTGTAATGCTGCAAGAGGGTTTTGCTTTTAGTTATAGCTGAAGGGCAAAGTAAACCCACTCACCTGCTGCTGCGGCTGCTGGCAGGGTGCTGAGATGCCTTGTTCTGCTCATAATGGACCCATCTGACACCCCTGCAAAACAGCTGAGGAAGGCTTTGCTCTGTACAAAGAAAACAGCAGGGCTGCTTTAAAAATGTTTCCAGGTTCCTTCCTAAGTTATCATCACAGAATTAATTTGATACAAGTTTGGTTTTAACACCCCCTCTGGCAGCACCAAAGAGCCGAGTCTTCTGGCGTGACTCGATGGCTGAAGCCGGGCCCGTTGGTGTTCGACGTCGAAGTTCCTGCTCCGTGGTAAGAGGGAATGAAAAAACCCCGGGAGGGACCAGACCTGCTCGGAGCAGCCGCGGCCCCTGGCACAGCAAAGCCCGTGAGAGCCACCTAGTGACTGACGGTATTTTGCTATCGTGCAGGGATAAACCCCAGTTATTTAATACCAGAACCCAGCTTACGTTCTGTGACCGTGTTCTGATGGACATCTATTAACATTTAAGTGGCTCCAAACAATGGATGTGCTCTCATCACAGCCATCAGGACGTTACCCATGCCCTGAGCTCTGGTAGCTGAACACTGAAACATGACAGCAGACTTACCTCGGTTATGTTTTGCTAATTCCTTATTTTTAAATGAACAGCACTGAACCCAGAGTGTTCTTTTAAATGCAAGGGAGTTTTAAACAGAGAAACTAATAAAGAGCTACTAAAAGACTTTGAAATAGGGAACTTAAAATTGCCTAAAACGCACAGAGATAAAGGAGGAAGTTCCTCAGTGGTTCTAGAGCATCACTATACCAGAATACTTACAAAAAGTCTAAATCCCCCCTTTCTGAAAAGAAAACCATGCCACAAAGCCTTTGAGAGCAAATTTTTATTAGGGTAGCAGAATGGAATTGCAGGAAGCCTATACCAGTACTCCTGGGTGTAGTTTTACCAGCATGTTGTATTTTGGATATTAAACTGCACGTTTAGAATTCAGCATGGCTTAGGGAACCGGAGAGAACAAGAGCTTGATTTCCTGAGTTAACATAGGACTTCATACTGTGATTTACTTTCCTCAGACTTCAAGCATACAGCACAGTATCTGATCTGTCTTTTTCCAGAGGGCTGCCTACAAACAAAAGCCATCACTTGGGTTACACATCTCGTGGTTTAGAAAATGAACTATGCCGAACACACCCAGAGAACTGATGGCAGTATCTGTCTTCTATGTGACCTTTGCAGATGAAATCGGAATAGCTGGTGTAGCGCTGCTGTAGGCCTGCAGGGATGGACTGGAGCTCCTCGTGTTACACAGCCCTTCCAGCTCCCTTCAACGGCATCCGAGTTACACCGGTTCAGAGAAACGCAGTCTTTGACCTGAGAGGCTCACAACCAGAAAGTATGCGATTGAGTAGTAACGAGGGCAGCCAACTAGTGCTACAGTCTTGTTTTAAATAAAACCTCAAGGATGGCGAGTTTCCATGCCCACAGACATGATCAAACGGTACAGTGACTCACGTGATGCGGAAGTTACACACTTCAGCTTGACAGATAATTTGGCATTGTTTTATTATGAATCCGAGCGTGAATGAAACAAAATCAGTACCAACTTTCTGCAAATGAAGACACAGAGATGTGAAAATTTGGTAATGGACAGTGCTCTCACAAGCCGGAAAACACTCAGGAAATGCAGGTTTCCGTAAATAAGGTGAACGTGGTTTATTTACCTGCCAAAGAAACTGTCTAAGAACACTTAAAACATAAAATGTCTTAGCTCCCTAACTTAAAAAAAGTACTTTCAGAGGTGAGGTACTGGGCTGTCATTGTTTACACTAAATCGAAATGAAAGCCAGATGGGAGGGATGAATGAAGAAATAGCAAATATACAAGACATTAAAACCAAAAGAGACCTACTGCTTGACACACTAGTTGTGAAAGGTTGCAAAGGCAGAGGCTGCATTAAATCTGGATTTAGGAGTGCAGACAACCACCTGGGTACGAGGGATTTTCTAACTCAGCTTCCTGCATATCACAATGATATGTGCTCCCCGATCCCTGTGGATTTGTGGAGATTTGCTCAGTAACCTACCCAAGTTCAAGAGGCGGGAGGAAGCGGCAGTTTGACTGTATGGCAGTTTGACTGTAGCTACGGTCACGCTTTAGGCTGGGGAAGAAGTGGCGTAGGCAGAAAGCAACAGGCGCAGTAAAGGACGCGCAGTTCTGAGCAGACAGGGCTTCCCCCTTCAGCATGTGCAGGGGGCCCGGCAGGAGCAGGAACACAGCTCTGCCTGATGAGGTTAGAATGACAGAATGAGACCTGACACACTCATTACATCATCTAACCTGTGTGGTTTCACAACGCAGGAGCAGCAGCAGCGAAGTGCACTCCCTTACAGGTTAGTGCTCAGCCCTGCTCTCCTCCCATTCTCAGTCAGAGCTGTGCAGCAATTGGGCTGGCACATGGCACAAGCGCCATCCCATTAATACATGGATATTTGTTACGCATTCTGATGGAAAAGTGTTCCAAGATGGGCAGCAGTGCTGCCAGATTTAGTACCCGAATTCAAAATTAGCATCTCCAGATGACCAATTTTTAACTCAAAACACAGTTTAGCGCTTTGGTACCCCTTGGTCCCCAGTTTCTGAAACTCTTCTGAACTGGTTGGGCTGTTGTTCTGTGGGTGCGCGTCCCCAGCTGCTCTGCAGAGGTGTTAGGAACAGAAGTGAAAGAAGTTTGTAATCACATTCCACTACTCACTTGCTACAGAATATTTTTCCCCAAAGTTTTCCAAAAGCAGGACATGAGCCATATTTTAATTCAATGACGCACACAAAAACTTGGGTTTCCCCGTTTAATAAACATTTGGTGGTAACATCAGCCAGATTTACATAAGACCTGGACATTATTTCTGATTGGTTTTGTGGGATCTATTGGATTCTTATGTTACAAACTGAAGTTAAGGGGAACTTGCAGCAAGTCCCACAAAGCACAGTGCAACATTTGGAAGGAAAAGTAAACAAAACTGCCAAACACTCAATCATTTTCTGCCAGAACTGGGATATTCTTTTCTAAGACATCGGCTTGGGGAGGGGATAAAATCCAATGAAGAACTGAGTGAACTCAAGAGAGTGGGAACTGCAGAAAATATAAGTGACAGCTGCAACCTTTTCAATTTAAGGGCAGAATATAAGTCTAAGATATTTTTGATAAATTCTGACAAGAAAAAGAAAACAGCATACTTTAAAGTATATTGAAGCAGTGATTTTTAAACAAAGAAAGCAGAACTAGAACATCTTAAATTTTAATCCTTTCTTTACAGGTTACCTAGCCCACTTTTGATTAAGAAAACTGTAGAAAGTTAGTAACTGCCACAAGTTAACACCGAAAGGTGGCACTTGTCAATTTTCCATAGAGTCCTGCTTTACGGGGTGTCTCAAATGCACTGCTCCGATCTTCTATCATACGTTGCTGACACCAACTGTGTCAGGTTTAGTCCACTGGTCGCTTTTCACCATATTTCTTTGTAAACTCTTCAGCGTTCTTACAGAATTTTTTACGGTCCTTAGAGTATTCTTCAGCTAGGTCAGCCCGAAGGGGGTGCTCGGGCTGTGGATCATTCACCAGTGCTATGAGGGACTGGATTACTGTCAAAAGAAGTATAAACACCGTCAGGCCAAGATGGTTCATTTGGACAAACATCAAAGTGTAAGCAAAATTCCCCAGTGAGAAAAGAGCTTTAACTGCCTTTAAATACATCCCATAGACCTGGGTATGAATGAGCCATAGCAATGCGCCAAGACTTAGTTCAATGACTGTGAATGAACGCCAGAAAATCCTATTTGTAAACAAAACCTGAACGGAGACCAAAACACACTACAAACTATTTCCCATGTAACTGGCATCCCATCCAAAATACTATGGCTAAGGAAGAGCCTGTGTTTCATGGGCAAGTCCATCTAAAAGGGCTTGGGCGACGAGGGGATTTCCATCGTGAAGCATTTTTCCTATCACCTGTCACAGTAACACCACTGTAACCAGACTGCATCTGGAAACCATTTCTCAGCTTGCTTTATCTACAGTTCTTACTTACAGGGCACAACTCCTCCCTTTTTTCTGAACTGCCAAATGCATCCACTGGCAGAGATACCCTGGGCAAACCGATGGGTAAGAACTACAGGATGCTTTTCACCCCATGTGTACAGCCATTTCGTCAACATTCCCCATCACTTGCAAAGGAAATGTCACTCT